AGAGTGGCTTTTCAGTTCATAAACAATATTTGTGTATGCTTTACAAATTTGTTCATTTAATAATAACTTTTTAAAAAACAAAAAAGAAAGATTTTCCTTGAAATATTCAATAATTACTTAGAGGAGAAGAAAGAATCCTCAAAATCATAATGTACCTACAATTGATTTGTCACACTTTTCAGCTGACTTATCAGCAACACATGCTTTTGCAAAATCAATCACTTCATTGGCTAATTTTATGTGTTCCTCAAAGGGGCATTTCTGGAGATGTTGAGAAAAGGTAACCAATATCCTGAAACAAAAGACATAATGACATGTAAAACAAAAAAAATTAGCATAAAACTTTTTGTGCTAGGCAGCAAACCATGTATATGGTCTATATCTTAGCATATCTCTGTTGTAATTTTCTAGGTAACCTCTTCATATCAGGTATTAGAAAAGGTCTAACAAAGTATATGCAACTCCTCAGCAAAAAGGATATGTAGTTCCACCATACCTGAGTGTATATGTGTGCATAGCAGTATATACACATGTTTAGGACAAATAGCAGATATATAATAAGTAGGCTGATTTGTTAAGATGAGACATTACATAAGTCCTTTGAGTTATTTAAAACACACACACATACACACACACACAAACCCCGACAAAGCCTAAACATCTCATTTAATCAAGCTGTATGACGATATTGACCCTTCAAAAAAATAATCATTTTTACTAGGTTAAAAAGTTATTAAAATGTTCCAAAGAAACTACAGGACTACTTGCTATGTAAAGGGATTCCCATTGCAAGTAGGCTGACAACAGAGATATATAATGCAGTCCTCACTGCTGCATGAAAGTTCCATAGTTTCAAAGTCTAATAATAGCCACTAACCATACATGATTTAATAAATTTAAATAAATTAAAATTAAAAACATTTTGAAGTTTTGTTCCTCAGTAGCCATATTTAAAATATTCAATAGCCACATGCGGCCCATGGCTACCATATCAAACAGACTGATACAGAATATTTCCATCAGTGGAGAAAATTCTGTTGGATGGCAATCTGCTAGAATCTGGAATATGACGACTTCAGAGTAGTAACCAAAGCTATCAAGAACATTAATGTTGATTCTTTAACTTACACGCCGTTGAAATGTCCTTCTCCCAAATCTGTAAATCGATGAGCAACCTCACTCTGGTCTGACGGAGGGGAGAAAAACATAAGATGTGTTTAAATACTGAGAAAAACATTTGTAATGCTAATTTTATTCTTCTTTCCTTTGCTTTCACACAGAAATGCACCCATACAATACCTTTCACATATGCGCATATGAGAAGAAGTATGAGTGCATTTACCCTAACTGAGCAAGGTAGAATGTTTCCTGTAGGTGGTATATATAGGTTTCCTACAGTGAGTGCTTCCTGGGAATAGTCAACGTAGTATTGGTGGAATACACTGTACACCAGCTCTCCACATGCTCCCTTAGAAGGCAGTAAATCCCGGGTGGAACGAAAAGAAAACCTTTCTGCCCCAAACTCCCTGAAACAGTCCCAACCTTCTAAGTGCTGTGGTGAGCTTCCCTAGTGAAACTGTGTATGCAAGTACATTGGCTATGCTCTCCCTGCTAGTTTTCACACAGCAATGCACTCATGGCATTCCTTTCCCATAGGCACATATGAGCACAAGAGTGAGTGCATTTCCACCCTTAAGTGAGCAACGCAGAATGTTTCCTGTAGGGGCTATAGGTTGCCTACAGTGAGT